TTTATTTAGCAAAAACAGACCGGCGGAGACAGGAAGTCCGGCTCACTAAAATGTCCGTGCAGAACAATACCCCAACCCATAGATCCGTGGGTGAATAATGTCAATCACCACACAAGCCCCCCCAGAATTCACCCATAGTCAAAATCCTCGCGCCTGGGAGGAAGTACCACCCGACCCCGGCGCGTACGGACCACAGGGGCCGAGGAGGGCGGGGCCGCACGCGAGGGCAGGGGCGCCAACCAGGACGAGGGCATCCCCACAGGGGGCGGGACATGGGAGGGCGGCCCCGACGTGGGGGCAGAGCCAACTCCAACAGCCTGGAAGCTTCCACGTGAGCAGGCTTAATCTGATCAACGGACACAGTCTCAGGCCTACCACCAACGTCCACCACCAGGCTCTTGTCCCCGTGACGTATGACCCTGAACCCTATGACCTGAAGCGCTGCCTGGCCGCAGACCATGGCACAGTGGCGTTGGGAATGAAATCCCCGGGGACCCGTAGCGTCCGGCCATTGACGAGCTCCGCCGACGAGGACTGCAGGTCTTCTTTGGGGGCACACCTGAGGCCGAGCATAACCCACGGGAGCTTATCGACCTAGTTGCCCTCTGTCAAGCCGGCACGCAGTGACGCCTTCATGGATCGGTGAAACCGCTCACACAATCCGTTAGCCTGGGGGTGATATGCGGTGGTGCGGTGCAGCTTGACCCCCAAACCCACAGCACCAGCGTTCCACAGCTCCGAGGTGAACTGAGAACCGCGGTCAGAGGAGAGGTCAGACGGGGTCCCGAAGCGCGCCACCCACGTGCCGATGAAAGCGTGGGCGACGTCGGAAGCTGACGTCGAGGTGAGGGGAACGGCCTCGGGCCAGCGGGTTGTCCTGTCCACCATCGTAAACAGGTAGGTGAAACCGTGAGAGAGGGGAAGCGGACCTACGAGGTCGACATTGACATGGTCAAACCTCCTCTCAGGAACCGCAAAAAGTTCAAAAGGGGCCGTAGTATGGCGGTGGACCTTAGCCCGTTTACAGGCCACGCATGAGTCGACCCAGGACCTCACGTCCTTCTTAAGCCCCTGCCACACAAACTTCTGCGACACCAACTTCACGGACGGCTTCCTACCGGGGTGGGAACGATTGTGAACCGCCTCAAAAACGGGTCGGCGCCAGTCCGCAGGGACTAGCGGTCGAGGCTGGCCCGTGGAGATGTCACACCACAGCTTCGCGCCCGAGTCACCGACCGTGACTTCCTCCAGGCGTAATCCCGTGACCGAGGCCTTGAGGGTCTGAACCCGTGGTCAGAGGCCTGGTCAGCGCCCATGCCCAGCTGCACAGCTCCGATGACCGCTCTGGAGAGGCAGTCCGCGACCACGTTAGCCTTGCCAGCGATGTGTCGTATGTCCGTGGTGTACTCTGAAATGTACGAAAGCTGGCGTTGCTGTCGGGCGGACCACGGCTCGGCCACCCTGGACATGCAGAAGGTAAGTGGCTTGTGATCCACGAACGCGCGCTGTACTTGCGCTCCCTGGGAGTAACTGGCGGCTGAAAAAGGGGAGCGGTTGCCAGGCGCCGTCGACCCATTGTTCATGCACCGCGCCCACCGCGTAGTCAGACGTGTCGGTGGTGATAGCGATGGGAGCCCTGTGTGACGGGTGAGCCAACATGGTGGCTTTGCTCAGGGCGGCTTTGGTGGAATTGAAAGCGAGCTCCCTTTCCCTTTGAGAAGACCAGCTTGCCCGCCAGGTGTGCAGAGAAGTCCTGGATGTGAGGGACCGGGTAGCCGTCTGGCGTAGTGGCGTCGTTAAGGCGGCGGTAGTCACCACACGGTCGCCAGCCACCGATTTAGGGACCGTGTGAAGCCGCGAAGCCCAAGGGCTGATTGAGCGGCGGATGATGCCCAGACGCTCCATGTTGACGAACACCGACTTAGCATGTCAGGGTTGAGTCTCGGATCCTTCAACAAGACTTATGTCGGGGTCACCAATGCAGTGCCGAGAGACGGGAGTCGGGGTATCGAAGGTACAAGCTAGACTTTTGTTTAGCATCTGAACACACATGTAAACAGCTTCAAGCCCGGGAAGAGAAGACCGGCGGAAACAGGAAGTCCGACTCACTAAAATGTCCGTGCGGAACAATACCCCAACCCATAGATCCGTGGGTGAATAATGTCAATCACCACAGTATNCTCATTGGTCATGTGCGCGTTCGTGTGTGTTGGAGGAGGGGCTCTGTAAGGAAGTCTGAAGGAAGTGGCAGATTTTTTCCAGCTGCGTACTTTCAAATTCTAGCGCACTCGAGCTGGTTTCTCTAAAATTACATACAGGGCTCGACATTATAAATGGCCCGCTGGAAAGTCACCGGAGGAGTTAAAGGAGAGTGACAGGGAGCATGAGAAGAAGAGGGAGAGAATGTTTCAGCCAGCTTGATCGAAGGAGTTGACGCTCTAAAACCCTTTCATAATCTATTGATTGATACTGAGTGATATATATTTTACACACTGCTCTGCTATCAGCACAGACCTCACAGCTGTTCTCACTGTAAACATCGTGTCGCGATGAAAGCAGTTACTAAAATAATATCCAGGGAATGCATGCAGAGCTGTCATTGGCTGAGATAAGTCCGGCCGTGCGTCAGCCGTGGAGAATGCATCAGTGTATCCTCGATCATAGCTCCTCCAGAGAGCCTCCTCGATGCTCGGTCCTCGGTGTGCATTTAGAGAAATGAGATGTCCTTCAACATGGCGCGCTGAAATTCATTTCCGGGTCACTACCGGAGGACCGAGGAGTCGAGGAGGGGAAATTTAAGAATTGAGAAGCCTCTCTTGAATACACCTGTTTCTTACATCCCCTCCTGGTGGAGATAAAAGGGAATTGCACACACACAGTACTGAGGTGTGATTCTTTATAGGTGTTATCCTATACAGTCTATGGTGTTATCATGAGCAATATAATCAAGTATTAAAAACAAATATAAAAGACATCCTGTTTTTGTAAGACTGCTTTAATTAGAGACTGATTGACAGCAGGAGAAGGGATGAACTGACTGAGACAAATACTGTACAAGTAATAATGTCTTTCTGCTTAGACTGGCGGGGGACACCGTACTTCTTCCTTCTCTCTGTCTGTACCTGTGTACTCTCATGTTCCGAATAACCCAGCTTCCCCCAAATTTCTTTTTGGTGTCTATACGCTGGGATCCTGAGTCGAGGCTGATCCTGTTGCTGTGGTCCTGTGTCCTAGATCCTGTGTCCTGGATCCTCTATCCTGAGTACTGGATCTGAGTCCTGGACTTCGAGTCGTGGCTGAACCTGTCTCTGTGGTCCTGCCTGACTCTCATCATACTACTTCCCTGATGACTCCCACATGATTGTTGACATCCTTGTGGATTCATCTTCTTATTATAGACACATGCATTTCCAAACATTCGGTCTACCTACGCTGTGAAATGTATTATCTCTTCAATTTACACACGGCATCTATTGCACGTCTGTCCGTCCTGGGAGAGGGATCCCTCCTCTGTTGCTCTCCCTGAGGTTTCTCCCATGTTCCCCTTTAAACTGTGGGTTTTCTCCGGAAGTGTTTCCTTGTACGATGTGAGGGTCTAAGGACAGAGGGTGTCGTATTGTCATACTGATATTCTGTACAAACTGTGAAGTCCACTGAGACAAATGTAACATTTGTGATATTGGGCTATATAAATAAACATTGATTGATTGAACTCCAGCCTCAAACCCTCCTTTATTGAGTTCTGTGCTAAGGTGAAATCATGCACATTTACACAATAACGTTTATGTGCCTATTTGGTAAAATGCTTATTGTTTGTTTTATTGATTTTAATGTTAATGAATAAGTGAGTGTGTGTATTTAATGAATTATACCTCCTTTATGCCGCGCAACCTCCACCAATAACACCAAAGTAAACAATACACCTTGAATATTTACGATACAACTGTAGCATAAAAACGTTAACGTTACCTAAATTATGTTTATTGGCAAACGCTCATTTCAGCTAATGTCGTGAGCCAGGTAATGTTAACCTTAGAACAAAAAAGTATATCCAAAGCTTAATGCAAATGAATAACTTCAACTAGCGTTAATGGTAGTTTGCTTACGACAATAATAGTTAGCTAGTGTTTGCAAACTTAAGGATAGTCTTTTGCTGCTTAGCGTTAAATGTACCTAACTTTATACGTTAGGTAAATGAAAACCTTAAGGTTTTATATTTTATCTTGGTGTTATTGGTTGTTGCTTATTTAAAATAGTGAATGAATGCTATCATATCAGAGTGTTTTTTTTAAGCTAACATAATGGTCCTACAGAGGAGGTGGGCCCCAGCATGGAGCTCCGCAGCTGGACCCATTTTGAAGTCATCAACAATAGTGTATTTTTTTGCAACTCAATGGCAAAGAACCCATCCTCCCACACTCAGAACAGCAAGTAATCAAATATTCTATGCAACTACATGAACATGATGTCTTTACACTTTAATGTTTGGCTATTTTGAACCATACAAAAGTCCATGGTGGATCTACTGTTCTCTAAATGGTGGACAGGTTGAGCGCGGTGTAGATCAGGTTGCTGGTGGTGCAGAGGAACCCAATCAGGTTGCAGAGCATGGACATCCCGTGGTATTTCCCGAAGGTGCGTTTGAAGGCTTTGTACTTGGGGTCCTTCTCCCTGAGTTTAGCGTACTCCTCCTTCTGGCTGCCCAGCCCGACCTGGTTCCCCAGGCCGTGCTCCTCCTCCACCGCCCGCATCTGGAACATCACCTCCGTGGCAGCCGGACCGATCCACTGCCCGTTCAGAGCCGCCGTGATCACAGCCACTAAGAACAGAAGCATCTGCAGGACACAAAGAGACAACGTATGAACGATGGGGAGGATTTTAATAGAAAATAGTGTGACTAAAATAAGTATTTACTTACTTACATTACCCATCGGCAGCTTTAACCCCTCTTAAAGTGTGCAATACTTATATTTCTTTGGATTAATACTGTATTACACTGTACATTTCAGACAATAATCTGGTTTAAATCATTAATGTTTGTTATATATTGCAATATACACATTTTTATTGCAATTTTAACTACTTTTACTTTTTGTTTTTACTATAAGTTTAAAAAATATATATATATAAATTAATGCTGTAAAAATTATTGCGTTAACGGCGGTAATTCATTTTTTGAATTAATTGCGTTAAAAATATTTAACGCATTCAACGCATGTGCAGAATGGCCCGCCCCATACATCCCACCAGTGGCAGCGCCAGGGTATGGCTGGGGTAGGCTTACTTGTCAACCTTCTCTATTTTGGCGGGAGACTCCCTATTTCATTGCCCTCTCCCGGTTTCCTCCCGATTTCTGACAAAATCAGGTTTACTCAGGACTGTTTCCACTCGGACTTTAATACAGCTACACCATTGTTTGGTTTCCATGATAACACGTATCTTTAGTAGCGCGCGTAACTGAAAGTCTGAGAGGGTGAAGCAGATAGTCACAGAAAACAGAACAAGAATCGACAACTACTCTAGGCTACTCTCTGCTCACTCCTTTCCTGTAAAATACAGGTCCAGCCCACACATATGCTCCATCAAAGATGGTGCTACAGGCCGCAAGGCATTGCACTTAGAACTACAATAAGCATGTTAATGTTAATCTAACAGCTCCCCCACCCCTATTTTGCATTTTGAAATGCTCCCGATTTCTGAGGTCTCGAGGTTGGCAAGTATGGGCTACACCCATACCAAGAAATGGCTTAGCCCCACCATGAAAAATGATGTTAAAGTAAGCAAAATAAAGTCCGCCAACTCACACAGACAGCAGTTAGTAAGATTGATTTCAGTCGCCACTTATCTGGAAATACCGAAGACCAGGAACGGTTTTGAAAACTTTTGTCACGTAGTGATCGTCTTCTAAATAGAACATCTTTGATAATGTCTTCTGGCCAATAGACAAGTTTACGCGACAAACCACGGGTAGCGCCATAACCCTACACAAATGCACTTCATTTCCGCCGGAAGTCTTTTGCACAGCGTCTGTCGGTGTAAACCGGTGTAAACAGTCAGACGGGCACTGGTGTAAACACAGCGATTTCGATGCTAACAGTGATGCTAGCTTGGGAACACGATTCTACTTCTTTGACTGGAGATGGCGTTACTCTCCCCCACCCGAATTCAGTGCAAAACTGGGAGGATAACATGACGACGTGGCCCAGCATAACGTACAGCAAAATTTGCTCCTACTTCGTTCAATCCATGGCAATAGATGGAAAAGCAATGGACAGTCTGAAGGCCTCCGAGGCATATCAATATTTG